ATCAGCATGTATGATTTTGGTTTTCATATTGTTTTGTGTGTAAAGTTGCTGCAGTGAACACAACTGTGCTGTCAAGCGCACAGAGCCACTGGAGACACCACTTAAATAAATAAATAAACTGTGTTCACCTATGAAATTTCACATTTCAAATTTTATCCCAGGGTGTGTGATGGGCTACCATTAATTGTTGCAATCAATTTGGCAAGCTGTGAATCAATCAGCCTGATCACTGTATACATAATACATAATACCGCAGTGACACTAGTGCGTAATGTAAACTTAATCTGTATCAAACCACACCAGGATCTTTCCCCTGACCATAACCAAGTACTGCCAGAGCCTGAACGTTACCATAAGAAAAATTATAAAGCTGTTATCACTATCAGATTTTTAGTGAACAAAACAAATACATTGTCAGTGAACATTTGACTGATATGTTCAGTATCAACATTTTTGCTATATGTTAATTAACAATATTTTCTCATTATGTTAATGTAAAATGTCCAATAAGGTTTCCCTTGAAATGTATTGCAAATTTGTTTTATACAAATGTAATAGGGGGTGTATATGCGGGATAAATACATGGGGTCAATAGGGGCTCAACAAGTAGTTAAAGAAGTACTCATATCTTAAACTGAAGTAAAAGGATCAATACATTGAAAATATTCTGTTACAAGTAAATGTCCTATTTAAAAACCTACTCAAGTGTTATCAGTAAAAGTACTCATTCTGCAGGCATATATCTTACACATAATATCATATGTATATGACATTATTAGATTATTAATACTGATGTGTACTGGATGTGTAGCATCGTAGCATCTCAAAGTGGGGCTAGTTTTTACTACTGTATATACAATAACTAGTTTAGTCCAGTGGTTCCCAACTTTTGGGTCAGGTCTCTCCAAAGGGTCAAAAGATAAAGCAGATGTTTGTGAGATAATTAATAGAAGAGGAAAGAGGAGGAAAGTTCTGGTACACAAATACTAGAGATAGTCTTTGGACTTTTTTGGTTTTTAAAAGCACCTACTGGTATAGATATTTGAAATGTGACAAGGGGCCATAACTAAATACGGTTTTTAGGCTGGACCACAACAGCTGACTAAGTGAGTGAGTGACTGATTGATCAAGTTACACCATTGGTGCAAAATAGCCTACAACACGGTCCAGCAATATACTAGGTCAGAGGTCGGTAAGAAAGTTTTGTAATCCATTGGATGGGAGCCAGAACATAATCAAAGTTTAATTTAATTTAGTTTAATTTAAGAAATTGATTAAAAATGCAACTGGAATTTTCTTTTAGCACTGTCCACGTGTGGGGCTGTGGCCCACAGTCACAGATAGGGGTGGGCGAAGATATGACAATCTTTTATGAGTAGAATCGCAACCAAGTTATTTTTTGGGGTATTTTTGCCTTTAATCAGATAGTGAAGTTAGAGACAGACAGGAAAGTCAGGCATAACATGCAGCAAAGGGCCATGAGTATGATTCGAACCCATGGCCACTGCGGTTGGGACTAAGCCCACCGAGGCGCCCCCCCCTGATTTTTTTTCATATCACATATCGTATGTCTGCTATTTCAGAGGTTTGTCAAGCAAGCAACAGAACAATTGGAACGTTTTGTCAGAACTTTTCAGAATAAAAGCTCAACTAGCTTGAAATAAAACATTGTTGTTGATTTTATCTTGTAGGTAAACTGAAGAGGAAGTGATTCTGTGGGTAACTGTTGTCGTCAAGACGGAGATCTATTTTAACGTAGATCTATGTTAGCACCAGGCACTGTGCACTGACTACAGTGCAGCCTGATGCATGACTGACATGGATAAAAGTATAATAATCACCTTGAGGTGGGGGTAGATCCTCTCTTTGGACATTATAACTAAATATGGGACTGTTAGTCTGATATTGTAAGCTTAAAAAAATCATATTATCAAAATAATCGTGCGGGCCTGGTATTATCGCTGGCGAGCCAGTTTTGGCCCGCAGGCCGCCAGTTGCCAACTACTGTACTGGGATTTGTAAGTGTTTTTTAATGTAAAATCATAACTAGCCTACTGCAATCAGATAAATGAAGTAAAAGTATAAAGTAGCATTACATGAAAATACTCAAATAAAGTCATCAAGACACTGGATACAAACAGTAGATCAACATTTCTGGTGGGAATGGGGTTTTATCCGTTCTGCTCAGCAGGACACATCAGGTTGAGGGCAGGTATATGGCACAACCTCTCCTGTGAAACAGGTTGCACCTAAATTACCAAATAACCAGACTTACAAAAAATGTTATTGAGTATAATTTCATACAACAGTGTTATAGATTACTATTATATGCAACCTGAAAGTTATGTTTGCATAGTAAGTGACATTAACAATGTAGAATTATTGTTCCTTTGAGGTACGGATTTCAATCTACTCCTTTACTGAAGAGCTCCAATTCCTTAATTGGAATACTAGGATTACTATATGTCATCCACGCAGGCAGCCACTACTGAAGCAAAGTACAAGAAAGCTTGTTCAGCCTTTGTCAAGGTCCATATTGACAAAGGTGAAGACTTTTGGGAATCCATACTCTGGTGTGATGAGACCAAAGTCAATCATCTTGAATCTGATAGCATCCAAATGTATGGCACTGCACAAGTAACAAGGACATGGTTCCAACAGTGAAATATGGCAGTAGTAAAGTTCTTACAAGGGGCTACATGAGTGCTGATGTTGTGTGGGAGCTGTACATATTCATGAATTTGCAGTTTCACAGACAAAATCTTGAAAGAGAAGATGCTACCCACTCTCCACACCCTGGGTCAATGGGTACTTTTCTACATGACAATGACAATAAACATTGTTCCAAGCCCACTGCTGCATTCTGAAGGAAGAATAAGGTGAAAGTGCTGCACTGGCCAAGTACGTCATCAGACCAAAGTTGTTGAGCACCTGTGTGGAATTTTGTAGACACAAGTTGAACAGCACTCCCAATGAAACATTAAGGCACTCAAAGAGGTCATCCTCCAAGAGTGAAACAGGATAGACAGGACAATAAGTTGTGAACTTGTACACTCAATGCCAAGAAGTGCTTAAAAATAAGGGAGGATGTACTAAGTACTGGAATATTATATACTTGTTGGAATTAATCAAGGATGTACTCCTTTGCAACCCTAGATTTAAGCAAAGTTGCCAAATGTACTTTACATATATTGATGTCATATCTTTCTATGTTGTTATTAAATATATGTTTGATAAATTATGTCATTGTCTTAAAAATTGTTATGATGATCATTTAGAAAAAATGATCATTTAGAAAAAATGATTACCAAAAATATTGCTTTATGTTCAGAGGGGTGTATGGAGGACTGAAACTGACAAAATCAAAAATACATCAATAAAAAAATGACTGAATAAATAAATTCGTATGCTATTAAATGCACCCAAAAATAATATTATAAATAAATACAGGCATTAATTAAGTAATAAATGTGACTTAAACTGATATAGCTCTTTAGCTTAACGCAACTTGCTAATGGCTAGCAAGGCACAAGTATCTCAGCAAAGTGTTTCATAAGGCTAACATTAGACTGCTCTATGAGATGTCCACTCTGTTCTTAAAGAAGAGCACTGTCTTTTCATAAGCAGACAGCCACTGACCAGGACCAGTGTCCACATTACTGAATTCAAAAGGGTCCACATCTGTCCATGTATGCTGCTGACTGCCCACATTTAAAAGTACATAGTCCTGATTGACAGTATTATTTTCAGCTGCATTAGCTAAGTGCTTAAGTTGTCTAACGATCCCCTGACTGGAGGTACTGGTACAGAATGGTACACGTCTTTTGTGAGCCTAGCTAGGTGAACGGTACTTGATCTATGCACTAATGTCATTAGGAAAAAAGTTGACCCTATGAATGACAGCCCCCATCATTTGCATAATGAAGTAGAAATTCATTTTAAAAAATCTAAAAATAAAATACATACATACAAGTAAATAATTAAATATAATGGGAATTTAAATGGGACTAAGTACTAAATATGGGAATTGATAAATACAGAAGCAAAGCAGTAATGTCACTTTATGTTACTTTATTACTTCATTAATGCCTGCATTTATATTTTATATTTTTGGTGCATATATTACATAATAGGCGGCACAGTGATGCAGTGGTTAGCGCTGTCGCCTCACAGCAAGAAGGTTCCGGGTTCGAGTCCCGGCTCTCTGTGTGGAGTTTGCATGTTCTCCCTGTGCTTGTGTGGGTTCTCTCCGGGTACTCCGGCTTCCTCCCACAGTCCAAAGACATGCAAATGGGGACTAGGCTAATTGGCTACTCCAAATTGACCATAGGTATGACTGTGAGAGTGAATGGTTGTTTGTCTCTGTGTGCCCTGCGATGGACTGGCGACCTGTCCAGGGTGTACCCCGCCTCTCGCCCGAAAGGATGCTGGGATAGGCTCCAGCCCCCCCGTGACTCTACTAGAGGATAAGCGGTAGAAAATGGATGGATATTACATATTAATTAATTGAGTCATTTATTTGATTTTGTCAGTTTTAGTCCTCCATCTCAACTCCAATGTACTTTGTGTATCCTACAATGTATACTGTAATTGATTATTTTACATTAAAAACTGATCTGAACAATGTCTTGAATAAGTGAAATTCTTGTAAGTCAGCTTTTCTCAAAACAAGTTGGGATATAGCTGTTTAATAAATATTAAAAGTTGAAGGTTGACGACGTACAGGATCAGACGCCGTTTCAACTGTGTTCACCGTCGAGATGTTTGCTGGGTCAGCAGGCCGTCAGTGTACCGGCAGTGTGACTGTGCCCTGGCTTTGAGCACCCTAAAAATATCCCTCACCAAGTATGCGGATCAAAGGGGGCAGCAACACCGCCACGACTCCCTCCCCGGTATTTAACCTAAAGCCTCTCAGAGGAGGAGCAAAGGCTAATCTAGAGCTGTTCCGAGAGAGAGGCTGGCTCAGGTTTCAGAGACGCGCACTAGCGACGGACCTGCGGCACTGATTGTGAAAGCTCAGAGGAGAAGCAGCGAATGGGACAAACTGAGTGGAACGCTAAAGAATAGGAGTCCGTCCCTGTGAGTCAGGAACATCACTGATGACAATTTAACATTAATGTAGTCGCTGATCTGAGTGCACCAAGGCAGTTTGGAGACGGTTTGAAGAAGGAAAAGGACATCTGCAAAACTTTTCCCGAAAAGAGAGAAAGAGCCTCTTACAAGCGCCAAAGTTGCTGGTCGTCAGGAAAACTTTTGTGCTGCCCTTCACCAGATGAATAGAGGACAATATCGTGGATAAAACCATAATTAGCTGTCTGAAATGGAGCAGGATCGGAAGTGGGGAGACACTGGAAAACCGGGTGAGGAGTGGAGGAGCCACGGCGAGCAGCAGCAGCAGCAGCAGCAGAAACCGCCGCTTTGGAGAAACTGGAGAGATTTGTCTGGCGTAGCGATTTGCATCGTACTATCTGTCCTTTGCCTTGGAGTTTGCATTGTGGTTTTTGTGCGGACCTCGGAATTGCAGTCCAGGATTGTAAGTCTGGAGCAGCAGCAGCGGGACGCGCAGCTCTCCGCGTGGAGGTTGTCTCTGGAGCAGGTGGAGCCCATAATCCTTGGCCGACTGGACCAGATCCTGGAGGAGGTGAGTGTTTTACTTCAAATCTAAACCTGGACGTTTTCTGAGCAGCAATACATCATCTCACTGGGTGTTAAAAAAAAGAGGAGCAGGCTGGTTTGGTTTTATCATGATTCATTGCAATATTTTGACGCGTATATTAATTTTACTAATGCAACTTCGATTCAACTTCTGTGTCATGCCGTCAACACGATCTGTCAGTTAGTGTCTTCACATGAACACAGTTATGTGTTATCCTGGTTTTAACCATATCCAGGATATGATATAGAACATAACCTGATCATACAGTGTATGAGTCTCAGGTTACTGTTCATCTCTGTCTTTAATGCCTCTTAATTCCAGACAGACAGGCAGACTGTCATTTCTGTATTAAGGAGTAGATTTTACTTATGGCTGTGTGGAACACGTTTTATAATGTATTTTAATCCTAGCTTTTTCCTAAACGACACAACTTTTAGTGCAATGTTTGCGTTTTGGTGACATTGCAGTCCAGTGAATTTAATCAGAATTGCTCAAAGGCATCTTCAGTTAAGAGCAAATATGTGATAGGCCACACCCACTTGCATAAATCAATGTGGCATTTCAGATTTTGGTTAACACTTGACCCCAGAGCATACACTAATTTTTGTGATATTCTGTCCCCTGGGTTTTCAGATACACGTTTTTGGTGTTTGTGGTGCCCCCTACAGGTTGGGCTAAAGATGCTTTTGTTTCCAGTTATTGTTTCTAGCTCATTCTAGCTCAGGGCAATTTCACATATATCATTTATACAGCTCTATTGCTTCAGGTTGTATCAAACAGATATTGTGATTGACCAGTGAGTCCAGTCCTGGTACACTCTATGCACCCTGAATGGCGGGCACACAGAGAGAGCGGTAAAGAGACAGAAAGACCAGTGGCCAACTTTTTCTCCCAGTGCTCCTGATGGTCACTCTGACCAGTCTGATCTGTCTGTGACAGTGAGGGTGAGAGAGAGCATGAGGTACAGTAAAGTACAGTGCAATAATGTCTACATCCCGAATCCCGAATGAGATTAATCCAGCTGTGAATCATATAATCTTTACATGGAACATAAGTAACCTGGTTATTCATGTGATTCAGCAGTGCAAGCAAGTGAACAGCAGCGAGTGTCAGCATCATAACATACTACAGTCTATCTGTGGTCTGCTCTCGTGCAGTGTGAAAACTGTTTTTTTAAGTGTCAGAGATGCATTGGACATCAGTGACAGACTTTAGATATTGATAAGGAGCAATTACTAAACATGTCCTCTATCACTTTGGTGCCATTCCTGCTGGTGGCATCCTAGGCAACTGCCTAGGCGGCCAAAGTGTAAAGCCACCCTGAACCCCTTAAAATAACTGTTGGTTGAGATGAAGGTTTATGTTTGGGTTCTTAAATAATTTCAGGCACAAATTAATTATATTTGAGGAATTCTAAATAAGTACAGGTGTCTGTTGGGTTCAAGCCAGATTTGGGGATAACAAATAGACTGTGACATGGTTTTAAGGGATTGTCTGCACTGTTTAATGGGTTTTTAAGGTTACTGTATTTGATCAATTTTAAGGGTTTTTTAGCCTTATAAAGCCCTTAAACTCTGCAGCTACAGCATTAGAATACATCAACATAGAACAATCCTTCAACTTCAGATGAGACTCTATCTTTAGTTCATGTCACTTTAAGTGGATGCTGGATAGTGTCCGAAGGGAAGAAGGATAATAATGCACTTAGTCAACTTGTTTTTCACTTGTCTTGATGGAGAAAGAATTTTAATTGATTTAAATAGATTTATTAGTTAATTAGCTTTTGTTTTTATGTGTAATATTCATATATCTATTTATAAGTAGTAATTAAATTAAATTAAAGTTTTCTTAAGAAACTGTCTGTGACTGATTTTGTAGATAAATCAAATAACATTTTTCTAGACTTGGCAAACCCAAACTTGTTTTTATTACTGGCCTGTAACTGATTTATAACACATTAGTATATTGTCATTAACCAACAACTAATTGACACTTACTAAATGATGCCTTATTAGAAAGTGTTAGTAAAATGGTAAACATCAACTGGGCAAGTCAACTCCTGCTCTTTATTAATGATTTCTAGCTGAGTTCTAACTACAAAGCATTATTAAATGTTTTATTAACCATGAATAAGGCCATTAGGTTCTACTTGCAACGCCTTTATAAACGGTGGTTTAATATAAAGTGTTACCAGAATATTTTAATCAAAGACTGATGAATACACAATGTTCCTGCACATTTGTGAATTTTACCAAGTGAATTGTATATGTGTTATAAGTCTCATGACATATGTGAGGAGGTCATCCTTGCTCTGGCCTCTGTGCTGCCCTTTCATTGACCACTTCCACAGCTACACTAACAAGCTCTTCCACAGTGATTGAAATCCCACAGCAGCCCTGTTTTCCCTTCTTCCTTTGGCTTTGACCTAACTTTTATCATCCCCCTCCACCCTGACCCACTTCACTAGAAACAGTATAATGCACTTACCAGGAGAAGAGAGAGCAGAGGGAGCCTTCTGCTAGGGATGGCAGCGCTACTGCACTCTCCATACGTTAGCTTGAGTCAAAAGTTTATCAAAGCAAATATCAAGAAAAAAACAAGATAGTGTATTTTTGGGAGCCAACATAAGGTGATAGTTTGATGAGCTGCATGATGATTTATTGCAGACAATGAACAGTTCAACATTTTGGGAAACACATGCATTTTTTTAAGATGAGAATATTGATTCGATCTCAGAGCTGAGGTCAGAGTGTTTTCAGGGCCATAGCCCCTTTTTTCAGAATTACTGAAGTCATTCAGGAGTATGTTGTCATGTAAGTCTCCTGTGCTCTCTCCCGGTTCCTCTCAATAATTGTCAATGAGAAGGCAGCACAAGAAATAAAGTTCAATAAATACATGGGGCACAAAGAATAAAGTGGAGTTGCCAGAAGAATGTCACATACTTTGGAAATTGTGAATAGTGAAGACATCTGTCTACATCAAATTGATCATTATAAGTGGATGACTAGTATTTTTCTCATACCAAATACCTTTTAACTTCCATTTGTATATTTATTACATTCATATAAAGTAATGAAACGGACAACTTGGATATTTACTGGTTTAAGGATAAAATAACAGACTGTGCTGCCCCCAATCTGAATGGTCAGGATGAAAGAATCAACTCCACTCATGAAACATACAGCTGCTGTGAGAGTGCAGGGACCATAATTACACACTGTAGTAAGTCCCAGAACGCAGGCAGAGCAGGAACAGAGGCAACATAACTCAATGAGCTATGGCAGTAAAGATATCACATGGCGCACAAGTGCATGCAAGCACACACACACACACACACAAACACACACACACACACACACACACACACACACACACACACACACACACACACACACACACACACACACACACACACACAGTGAATGAGTGAAGTATGTTGGGAGATCAGACAGGGATAGGAACACACTTTGTACAATAAGAAGAGAGCTGTAGCAGATGACAGCTGCAGTAGGAGGCTACGAAGTGTTTTCAAATGTTTGTCCACATGCTGTCCAGTATCTTAGTCTTCATCTCCAGATGGACCTCGGACGATGCAGCCTGTCTCTTTGTTTAGCTTGGTGTGTATAAATAGTCATTATTAATGGGACACAACTACAGATGTAATCTTCTGTAGAAAGAGGGCAGGAAACCTGTGGTACTTTCACCCAACACTATCCAGAATCCACCACCCTGTCACCTTCAATGATGACCAGTTTCCTCTGTTATGGAAAAAGTGCCTGGATCCAGCAGGACAGAGTTGGTCCTCATTATTATTCCAGTCAGATTTTGATTGTAGCAGAATCCACTGGTTCACTGAGTGGTGTTTCTAGTAAATTTTGTTTGCAGTTATTGTTCCTGGGTTTGGGGCCATGTAGAGGTTTTGTCTTCTCACTTTATCTAATAAATAACATATTTCCTTCACTACTGTTAAACAGTCAGTGCAGTGACTGAGCACATCATCTGGGAGTCTTGTTATTACAGCAGGTTTGGTACCATGGTGCCTATACAGAGACCAAAACCTGTGCTTACCAACAACCTACAGCCTGAGAAAAAGAACAACATTTAAAGAAGTGCTGGTGACATGTAACTCTCTTTAAAATCATGAATTGTTTTTGTTCAGATTCAACAAATGAGAAACAATGTATTCATCATTGAGGAGGTTTTGGTAGCAGTAGTGTTGAACTTCAGACAGAGCCAGGCTTGCTGTCTGCAGGCTTCCAGTCTTTACCAGGTCCTAGTTCCATATATTTAATGCATACACATGAGATTGTGTGGTTTATAACATTTAATGGTGAATTAACAGCTTTAAAGCAGAGTGAGTCGGGTGTCACTGCAGATTTAACAAAATAGTATCCTCTCATTCATTTTCCACAGGAAAAAACTGAAAAAATAATCTTCTCTGCAGAAGCAAAACATAGGTTCCGGTTTTAAGGGTTCACAGCCCCTCATAACTGCAAATTGTCAACAGGTGTTGAAGTTAAAAAGCTTACTGAAGTCCTTGAATTCAGTTGTTCCTCCCCCAAAATAATTGTCATACCCTTAACAACACCAGTGAAAACAGCCTGACCCCCCTGACCTCCCCCTCTCTCTGTCGCTATCTTGCCCCAAACATGGCCCCTTTAACATTTACAACTAACCACAAACTGCTCTCTGCAGACCTGGTAGAACCCTGGTGCACATAATGAGTGCAGAGACATGATGGAGCTGGAGGCCCAATTGCCAGTTGTAGAAATGTCAATAATTTAGTCTCCCACTTCTCTTGTTCCCTCACTATGTTCCTCACAGAGCTGTCATTCATTATGCCGTGAGGTCTACACATACACACAAAAAGCAAACACAAAAACATGCACATACATCTCTATGATGTATGTCTGTTTTGGACTACACACACAGTAGAAGTGCTCAAGCTACCTCTAGATTTCATCAGAACACACACACACACACACACACACACAAACACACACACACACATACACACACACACACACACACACACACACACACACACACACACACACACAGTGAACTGATTGATACGATTGATAAGTTACAGTGAGGATTTACAGTGAGCTAATGGAAGTCATATTGAAAACGAGATTTCTGTCAGGAAGAAAAGAATCAATACGACTTTTTATGACAGAGTATTAAATACTTAGACTGTGTGATTCATGATGCCTATGTGCTAATAGTGTGCCTGCTGGATAAATTAGCTGGTGTCAAAAAGGGTTGCAGACTTGCATGCTTACAAGAGGCCTCAAACCCCCCAGTAGAGAGCTGTAGTCATCCATAAATGACTGTCTGCTAAAGCACTTGCTAATAGAATTTGAGCACTATGTCATTGTGAGAAACTAATTTGTCAGCATAAAAAAAAACCTTTTGGCTGAGGCAGTATATGTGTCATTATTGTTACTCATTTAATGTAAGTTTTGTTCATTTTTAGCTCACATTCTCATCAGTGTGCTGTGGAAGTCTCTGGCTGAAATTATCTCAAGCATATCAAAATGATTACATTAAATCACATAAACACAATTGAATGAAATCATCAAAAGGAAATTTTCCATTTGCACTGCATCATCAAAATTAACAAGACAATTTTTAACACCAATTTTCATTTGTATTTCACAAAATACATCATTACTGCCAAATTTAAATTGGAATCTTCCAGTGACAAATATATTTCAGTGTAGTAAAGCAGTGCTATAATAATAAATTAAACTGAATGAAATTGATTCCACCTGTACTGTTCAAACTGTACTTTTCGCATTTGAATTATGTCCAGACTGTAGTTCATTCAAATAACATTAAAATGCAAATTACATTTTTGATGGTCATAAAGGTTGATTCCCAAGAGGTTTCAGACAGGAAAATCTATTGAGAAAGTTTTACTTTTCATCACAATTGTGTGTGAAAAAAGTTTTAATTTTGAATGTGTTGTACATCAATCACACACAAATGGAAAATTTAACTTCAGTAAATTATTTTATTTTAGTATGATCACTTTGGCTTTCTTTAGGAAAATAAGAAAGAGGTGAAGTGGAGGACTTGTACTGTTTGTAGTAGCAGTAATAGGTCTTAAAGTTAATCAGACTAGAGGATAGTAAAAGGGTTTGTTATCCTTTTAAAATAGGAGACTAAAACCATGTCAAAAACTAATTGTTAGTTCAATCTTCTAATGGCCTGGACAAAATGAAGTGGTGATAAATAAATAAGCCAAAGTGATATTACAAGCTGTTGGTTGTCTTCAATTAGTATGATAGGTGTCTTTAATCTTAATCTTAATCTTAATCAGTCATTCAACCTATATAAATGGTAAAAAGTTCTCGTTGTGCTGAAAAAAAATTGCCAAGCATGGTAAGGGTAAAGGCAACAAGACCATCTCCAAGCAGCTTGATGTTCCTGTGACCACAGCTGCTAATAATATTAAGAAGTAAAGGACCATGAGACTGCAGCCAACATCCCTGGATGTGGCCACAAGAGGAAAATTTACCTCAGATTGAACAGAAGGACCGTTTGAATGGTAGGAAAGGAACCAGGGAAAAAACAGATACAAGCTGACCTCCAAGATCAAGATACAACAGTCCAGTCGCTCTCTGAATGAAAGTGGGCTCCATGGAAGAAGAGCCAGGAAGTCCACTTCTGAAAGAGAAACATAAAAAAGACAGAGTTTACTAAAATACTGCATAGCCGCAAAGCTTCTGGGAGGAGAAAACATTAAGCTTACAAAGACAAGATCACCATCCTCAGTGTGAAACGAGGAGGCTCAGTCACGTTATGGTGTTGCTTTGTGTCTGGCACAGGAAGCCTTGAATCTGTGAGGGCACAGTGACATCAGGAGATTATCAAGGAGATCAGGAGATGCTCTGTGTCAAGTGTCATGGCTCCTCCAACAGGACAATGATGCTAAACATGCATCTAAAAGGAGCCAAGAAGAAAACACCGGACAATTCTGAAGTGGCCTGCTGTGAGTCCTGATCTTAATCCATCTGAACATCTATGAAAAGACCAGAAACATCAAACCTGAGTTCAGCCAAAGTGATGCCCAGTGATGTGCTACAAAATATTCAGGTTCAGGGTACCACTGTTTTATAGTGTCATTTGTTGTACTATTTAAATGAACATGTTAAAATCAAAAGCATGTGTCTAAACATTGAGTAGAGAATAATGGATGACAATTAGTTTGGTTTGTTTTTTATAAGTGGAAGGTTCCAGTCATTTTGCTCCTGTCTGTACTGAAACCAATGAACATGAGAAGACTAAAGATTAATGACAATCTGATTCTGCTACTCTTGTGACATTTGATGTAATTATAGTTGTATAGGAGTAAATGCCTGCTGCACTTGAACTAAATCTCCACTCTGCACTAATCTGCGTTATCTAGTTTGAAAATTAATTTTTCAGTTGAAGCTGGAGCAGGCAGAGCTCTGGCTGGACAGCTCCCTGGGTTAGTCTTACTAAAGACTTCTCCAGTTGTGAGTCGAGTCTGCAAGTTTCAGCCAAAGAAGTTCCTGGAAATACTTTAGTAGCTGTGATTGTCCAGATTTCAGGAGGGTTTGGGATTCTTACTGTGCAACATAAATGATGTTTTTGGGGAGATGTATTTTGCCCTACTCTAAGACTTTAAGCTTTAGATGTGTTCAAATGACTCTTTGTACATATTTGTCCATTGAAATGTTGCACATTTCCAACCCTGATTCAGTCCATGGCTGTGATCCCACAAAGCATGGTAAGAGGCATATTGACATAACAGGCAGTACCCAGAATATTGCAGCAGTGCTCAGAATGACAGTATCTTCATAACATTCCCTTCAGCACCTGTTGCAGCCCTCTAAACAGCCTGCTCTGCCATTCTCCTGCTCGTACCCTCCAGCAGTGAGACTGACTGTTATGCAGTGGAGAATGTGTTGGCTTTGTTTTCTGCTCAGGGTCAAATCACACGCAGGCTGTTGTTGGTCTAATGAGATCAACTGTCACACGTTTGCAGATCACAGTTGAACTGTGAGTTTGTCTGTCACTGTAACTGGACCTCTTGTCCATGATAGCTTAACAGTTTAGCCCCAAAGTTCACTCTCAACATGGAGGGAAGTCCTAAATGTGCTCACAGCCAATAATGTGTACAGCTTCATGCATATGTCATCGGCTGAAGACCAACTATTACAATTTAAAACTCTGGAACAAGTTAGTGGCTCTTGCTGCTGCTGACCTATTGGATGTGCACTGTCAGCTTCAATGTGATACTCTGTACTGGACATATAACTGTTGTTCTCATCCTGGTTTTCAGTGAGACTTTTAACAAGGATGTGATATGGTTCATAAGAAATTTATTGAATATCAACAGTAACTACAGAGTTTTAGCAGAATCAGCCACAAAATATCAGTCATTAAAACCCATCAGTAAAAGCTTTAAGTCCATCATCACATTGACCTCTACAGTCATTAAAGACATTTGATTGATTGAAAGTTAGGGGTATTATGGAGATTTGTAAATTGTTTTTTGACAATCGACATTTCACGTTAGGTACACCGTGATGTTAAAATGCATTCTAACTCTCTTCTTCTATTCCCTCTCTTGTTCAGAAACTTGCAGTAAAACTACCGAAGACTCGGGAGGTGAGGGAAGCTCCCCACAGTTGCCTCTGTCCCCCAGGTAAGTTCATCACCTTCAATCAATTTTTTCTTACTGACACATCGACTTCACACAAAGATTTAAACTTCATTTAAACTGTCAAATACAAGATCATTACCATTCAATGCAAGATGCAGGTCTGTAAGTGTACCTTTATACTTGTCGGTGCTACAGGTTGTTTTTTACATTATAATGCGGCTTTTTCACTGGATATGTAATATATAATTTTTATTCAATGTATGGTGATTTATATTTGGCCTCCTTATGTAAAGTTTTGTGTTACTTTACCATCAAGTAGACACACCTGTGGTGAGAGGGGAGCTCAGGTAGAGATCTTCACCAACCATTACAGTCATCTGTGGACATAATGTTTTGCACTGTTGTGTTTTATCTTTTTGTCCAGTGAATGGTATAGTTTTTCCACTTCATGGCTGTCACAGTTTTAACATCTGTTGATCTGTGCAGTTAGTGGGAGTTTACACTTTGATGACTGAAAGCTGTGGTAACAGAGGATTACTGAGAATGTTCTTCTCAGCTTTTGCTGTTTAGCTAACAACAGCAACTACATATAGAAACAAAGTCAGACAATAAATAAAATGTGTCATTGAAAGGGAAGAGGCAGCTGACAATGCCTCACCTTTGAATAACTATTGATCACAATATGTTTATAATAATGCTTTCATGTGAAGAATCAAATGAAAGTCATGCAGTTTGTGTTCCTGTTTTACAACTATGTGTTGTACTTGATAGTGTACATACCAGTTGGGGTTGTGCCCTTCAGCTCGCTCAGACATGATGACAAACTCAGGTGTATTTCCAGCTGGCAGCCACAGCCATTTTGTGTCATATGAAGTTATAATGGAGGCTGGTGTGATGTGGAGGCATGATTGAGGTATTGCTGTGTAACTAGCCAAGAGACTGTGTTCTACTCAACAGTGTACTAGCTGTCACTTTACCTGTGAAGGCCTGAGACTTTTTCTGGATTCACTGCTTGTGACATGATGAAATCAGCCTCAGAAATCCAGGAGATTTATGTAACTAATAGGGTTGTCATGATACTAGAATTTCAAACCGGATACCAATACCTAGGAAGATACTTGATACTCTATACCATTTTGGATACCATGAGAAGAAAAAATTACCCTAACCCTAACCCTACTTTTTAATAAAGATTAGAACAATACAAACAATAACATCAATGACAACGCTATTTTCAGGTTGTCTGAGATAGAGAGTGCAAAAAAACAAACAAACAACAGTAACCTTACTGTAAGGTGTATATATATGACATGAAAATGTATTCAGCTACAGCCCTGTTTATTTTCTGTGCTTCTGGTGACTTGGCACCACATTTTCGTTGCTGATCAAATAGAGTTTGTAGGATAGGCTGCTGCTGTTTCTGTCTAGTTGCTGGTCGACTTTTCTGAGCTTTAATCTGGGACTTAATAATAAATATAACCCTTTTCAGACACAAATAATCGTGTTATCCTGTTAAATCAACACTGTCTATTAACGTTACAGACAGGCAGGACTGGATTAGCCATAGCTGCTAGTTTAATGATAATTTAACAGACAGCTAATGTGGCAATCAGCTAATTGCTAACAGTTAAACAGCTAACGTTAACGTGTGCATCTGGCCAGGTAAAATAATAACGCAAAATAATTCCAAACAGCACTACTTCTAATTTCAACTGAAACAGGTTGCGAATGCCCTTCAGCAGCAGCACCTGCCATGTTAATTTAGTTTTATGCTGGCGGCACCAGGTCAGTGTTGTAAATGTCAACTAGCGTTCATGTGTTCAGCTGCTAGTGAGGGGAGGGGCTGTGTGCCTGCCTGTCTGCAGTGGTGCTGTATGAAGTTGTGTGTCAACTGGAGAGGCAAAGCCGGCACTCTTGGTATGGATAACAAGATAGGTCAACAGTCCTAGGTGTCCCTAGTGTTCCAGTCTAAAGCTAAAACATGATAATTTTTTATCCACTGTCAAAGTGAAATGGGTTTGGTTCACAGTGTTCATCAAATGAAAACAATGATAATTTTGTTTGTATTTAACAGCTTCAGCTCTACATAGGCTTTGGAACCATGTCTACGAAAGTTCATAGACGCTATAGTTGTTTTAATTGTGCTTCAAAATGAGGGGGTTGCTCAAATGTTATTGTCTAATGCCATTTACTTTCTATGAACAGAAAACATTTTCTTATGTGTGTGTGTGTGTGTGTGTGTGTGTGTGAGAGAGAGAGAGAGAGAGACAGCCCTGTGAGAAATCGCTCACCACACCAGTGTTAATTTGTCTTGACAATAGGATGTTAGTGTTGTAACATGCCGATAAGTGTCTGTGGGGTGGCCCATAAACGCCTGCTAAGGTGGAGCTTCAGAGGATATTCACCAGGTGTGGAAGCCTTTCATCCCAGAGTTGCCAGATGGTCTGACACTTTTACAGCTTCTTGTGACTTTCTGTGTCTCACAAAAGCTAGAATGGGAGTCTGGTAGAAGGTGTTTGTATTGTCAAGTTACTTGTCTGGCAAAACTGGCAGACCATCTAAAGGCACTGTTGTTTAAAATGTAGAATATTTCACTTTCAGTTTTACTCTAGGTTACTTCCAAAGCCTTCTGCAAACTGCCAGGAATACACTGATGTATATTGTTGTTCTTTATATTTTTTAAATGCAATTAATCTTACATATTCACAGTCTAGACATACTGATTTAGATAACATACTTTAAAGTTTAGACTGTTAATCTTCCCAAGGTCAATAAAATCAATCTCCACTTTCAGACAGAATACTGAGAACATGACCTCAGTGTTCTCATGGTAATGACCTGAACACTATAGAGATGGAGATGTCCAATAATAAATGCAGTGTCCAATATTAAATAAATAAGACATTATGAAATAAATAATTATACATTAATACACACAAAATAGGCGCAATAACATTGTGAAATAATGCAATACTTATTTAAAAACTCAGCTCATTACTCTGAAATGTTATTTCTGTCATTGCTGCCCCTGTTAGTGACTCTTAATTTGAACTCTGTTTATTATTTCCTGTTTTATTTTATTATTGTGTGTCTGTTGGTTGCTTTACTACTTACTTTTCTACTGTCTTTGTCTTGTTTTTCCACTCCTGTGATTGTCTGCCCTCCCTGATGTGTTTCACGCGTGTCCAATTATCCCTGCCTCCCTTGTGTACTTAGTCTATGTGCTCCTAATCCTCTGTCAGTTTGTCTGTGTCGTATATTTCATGTTCCTGACTTTCCTTATGTTCCTCATGTGCTGTTTGTTCTTGAGTTTTTTGTGACTTTTGGGGTTTGGACTTCCTAAGTTCAGTTTGCCAGTTTAACTGTTCTTCATTTTTTCCACCTCTTTATATGGAAGCCTGTTTTTTGCTTACCAAAACACCTTAATTCTCCAGCATTTGTGTGTGGCTGCATTGAGGTTGTGAAAATGTGACAATTTCATCGTGCTTCTTTCTTTCATTTATATTAATTTCAAGCAGTTTGATGATAAAATGTCTGTTTCTGTTTCACAGTGCCATCTTTTCTCTCTTTCTCTGCCCCTTTGTGTCTTTTTCTGTCAACAAAAGACAAACAGATAAAGCAAAAAAAGCTACATTTTATATTACTGAGCTGAGTTTAAAAATGTTTTAGATTATTTCACAATTTCATATTTTCTTTAACACCTGGGGTCCCTATAGAAAGTATCCAAAATAGTTTCAAAAAGCTGGAACAATGAAACTCTACAAAACACAGGATATTTAATATATATTCACTGGAAATTAAAATTCTTCATTAGAATTAGTCCCTGTGTTGAATAACTTTGTTGTAGCTGTTGTCAGTTTAGTTTGCCCTGGCTCTTGTGCTGCAGTGCATTGCAGCATGTATTCATGTACAGATAGCTACAGTGCACCCTCCCCCTCAGCACCAACCACAAACTATGTTCACATGGCTGCCATGCTGTTAATTCTTTACAGTGCCAGGTGACTGAGAAGGCAGGAGCTGATGCCTAGTTGGTGACGCACAGACTAATGTTGATTAAAGGAACTGTATCTGCATGATTTTATGTATTACAGTGCTACCACCTGATTGGCCGATTGGATAATTGCAAGAATAAGAACCTATGAGTGTCCAACGATTATGAAAACAAGATAATCGAGACAAATCGATTATTGTGCCGTTTAGCAACGTAGGTAGAAGTGTGTCATCTTGAGCAGTTTGCCGGTTCAGAGACTTTATAGTCGGAAGAGACCATGCCCTGTTTGACTGCTATCCCACACTCACATATCTTTAACTTATACCCTTTATCCACCAGCATTAGTGGGTATAAGCAAGTATTTTAAAAGCGGTCAACCCACAAATAAAAGACTCCTTTTCCACTACCAGTCGAGTTTGCTTTCTGTTAAGACTGAGGACACACATCTATCTATTAAAATGATCTTTATTGTTTTATTTGTTTTTCTTTTGAATTTATATCAATTTCTGGGTATGTTTTGTATGTGCAATCACCTCATGGCTGTGTTAGAGTTTGACCATGACAATGATAATAGAGAAAGTTTTTTGTGGTACTGATTCAACATGTTGGTCATCTTACAGGGTGCACTATATGCTGCTGCTGAATTGTATTCAAGCCATGTCAGTGTCAAATCATTACAGAAGCTATCTCATATAGAACGGGTCTAGGACTGTACTCGTCATAATGGTATTTTCAGAGATCCAACATCAACCATGAACAAGCACAAGGCGACAATAGCAAAGAAAAACTGTTGTGTGAAAGTTTGGGCATCAACTGCACTTGTGCACTTTTGTGTGTCTGTCAATGTACGTGTGTGTATTGTTGGCCAAAATGACATCACCATAATGGTTTTTAACTAAATTTGTCATCACAATTATAGAAAGACATGTACACACATGGAAAGAACTGCCACTAACAACTATTTTTCTAACAATTAATCCTCCAGAAAATCTAAATGACATGCTGGCATGATCAATAATCCCAGATTTAGGCCTAAACATTTTCTCAAACA